TGTAGGTTGATCTTAAAGTCGTTTGCACACATAGCTGTATCTCATCCAAATCCAACTTAGTGAAATTTCACTGATTTCTAGCAGTGTTCAACTACAAATCTCTTTAAGTCTATTTTCACATTTTATGAACAGAAGTACATAAAATATTGTGACCACAAAGGTGCCCCTGCAGATAACCCCACAGAGCTGAAAGTGACTACAAAGGAGTGACGCTCTTATAAATACCCTGACAGCAAGACGAGATCCAGTGAGAACCAGCCAGCTGTGAGAAGATAAAAAAAAACAAAGAAAAACAACCTGTACTCAGTATGGCACTCAGAAAAGAGCTGATTCCCTCTAATTACTCTGTAGGTGTAAAGCTCAAAGCAGACTGCATTCCTCTTGCTCAGCACTCATCAATAGTATTAGGCAGTCATTTGAGTGGCCTTTCCACACCTCGTGCTGTTAACATCATTTTCCTTTGTCTTTTGTATGTAAGGGATGTTACTCACCAAATTAGTAACTTCTGAAATTACAGTTTTGTTAGCCCATTTCAGGATGATGTCACATCAAAGCAGAGAACAAAAGCACAAGCCTTTTTTTCACCACAGATCAGAAATACAGATCTCTCAAGGATAAAACCACCGTGGGGCCAGTACACACTGCTTTCAGACACAACTATTGACCATAAATCATTTGATGATGTATAAATTGACTGCTCTATTCCACCTCCCACCTTTCCCTATTTCCCTGTGCTCTCTGAAAAGTTCTGGTCTCTGATTAAATTCATAGATATAGCTAATTAGCTTTTTATCCTGATCATCATGACAGAACCAGCACTTGCAAAGAAACGTTAATATTGCATATGGGATTTCCCAAAGATTCAAATAGAACTAGAAACCCTAGAAACTAGAAACTAGAAATCATGTGACCTCAAGGTTGGATATTAGGAAAAATTTCTTTACTGAAGGAGTGGTCGGGCACTGGAACAGGCTGCCCAGGGAGGTGGTAGAATCACCATGCCTGGAAGTGTACAAGAAACATGTAGATATTGTACTGAGGGGCATGGTTTAGTGGAGAAATAATGGTAGGTGGATGGATGGACTGGATGATCTTGGAGGTCTTTTCCAACCTTGGTGATTCTATGATTCTGTGATTCTTTGACTCTATGATTCAATTTTTCCTGTGTAGTGACCTCGCCCTTCTTCCGTATAGCAGCTTGTAAAATCTCACTTCATCTTAGCATGCACCCCAAATTTAAACTGCTTTACTGCTGTCAACAATGATATATAGACTTACAAAGTCACACTTGGTTTTGAAATCTCATCTTATGTTTTAACTGAGAAGGGAAATTGAGTGAAATCTATGTGATTGTCATACACAGAATTTTGTCTCCCAGTAAATACAGCATACATGAACATGTTTTAAAAGCAGAAGCATAACAGTGTTTCATTCTAATTTCCCAGTTAACAAATATTTTTAGCTTAATTGTTAGCATTGTCTTTAAATCCCAATAAATCCCTACAGTTACAATTCCTTTCTTCAATTATTGATCTCATTGTTTTGGAAAAGGGGAGAAGGCCAGAGGAGAGCAAGGATAAATATCAAAGGACTTAATAAATCACACTGCTACAAACCTTAACGGTTTTGGTACCAGGGCTACTCATACTCACATCGCACAGAATCTTTGTGCCCGGACCAGGAAACAAGTGCACGGTTGCTTGTACTCATCCAGGCTAAGGAGATGATAGTAAAAATAGACATAAGCATTGCTTCTTCAGGGAAAACTCTAAATAAACAGATGGATCTTTGCAGTAAACCATATGAGAAATATTTTTACTGAGTGGAAAAGCAAATTTCAGGATAATACAACATGGTAGAATAATATAATGGTATATACGGTATATATGAATATAATTTCATAAACAGATATAAATATATTTCAGTCACTATTTAGTCTGTCTAAGAAGAAAAGCAGTTCTTGATGAAATCAGCAATGAAAAGAATTACTGAACCTTTCAGGATACATATGAAAGAAATGATCAGGAACCAGTTTTTGCTTGTTACTCACATGCTATTTGTTATAACTTGGGCAAATAGCTTAGGCACTGAGCTGAGCCCAAAGTTCAGATTCCTTTAAAATTAAGAATTATACATAACTTAAAATGATTTTCAAGCATTGAAATACTGATAGATGATATTGGAGAATTCACTCTCAGCATATATTTGGACACGTATTAAGAGCTACAAGTGAAGACAGATGGAAGCTCTGTGGCATGTGGATTTCACGTAAACAGCATTACAGAAGGAATCTATGGAAAACAGGGGTTTAGATTAGAAGTCTTTATCACTACATGCATACATACACATTTTTCAGCACACACAAAAAGAAGCTATACTCTCTCAAGTTTAACTTCATTACATATACTCAGAATTATACTGACAAAAAAGAAAAAGAAAAGAGTAATCATAATAGCTTCTGTACTAAATGCAAGGTTCAAGTTAGTCTATTTCTGTTAGAGATTCTCACATGTCTTTTACTGTAGCCATAGCTTAAGTTTATTGTATGCCATAATCTAGACTTGACCACTGAGAAAACGCAGTAAGATCTGAAAGAATGCTTCTGATAAAGGCATTTTCATCCAAGAGTCTAATGAGGAAAGGCCAGTGTTAGGGAAAATTTCTAAAAATCTGATGCATCAGAAAATGACCATGGTAAAATAATGTACATTCAAAAGCTCTTATTCAGACACTCGACTGTAGGAGACATATATTTTTCTTTATAATAAACAATGTTATTCTCACTATTTGCCTGGAAAAAAAGAAATAAACTCACACATTTTCACTATTTGTATAGACATGCACATATATGTTTGCATATATATATTGTATATATATGTATATATACATGCAGTCACTTTTATACCAATTTACTCATCATAAAATATTGGGGTTCTAGAAGTTATTAAACAAAAAAGCACCACAGACTGCATGCTTTCTACCTACTATAATTTGAGTTTCATAGTAGGCTATCAAAGACATTGCCAGTTTTTCATAAAGGAAAAATGGCAACAAAAAATTATTCATAACAAGTGACCTCACTACAGGTACTTCAATTTTATTCATTTTAAATTAATGTGGGTGGGTTTTTTTTTTTTTTCATTTATTTTGCACTATTAAATATGTGAAATGTAAAGAAAAGACTTAATGTTGTTTGTTAATGCAGTGTATCAGATTGGTTGTGCCACGTGATGTTTAGAGTTTACTCTTACTTCTATAACCTATAGCCATTGTTTTACTTACATAGCTAAAGATTTAAATAAAATGCAGATGTAACTGGAGAAAATTGTGTTGCCTCCATTTCAAACTGGAATATATCATATACATCAGTAGACAAAGATGACATGGCATTTGAGTTTCTAAGAGAGTAGTCAATTCTATTGCTATCAGTCAAGGTATAGGTTAAAAAGCCCTATTTGCTAAACTCCAAGAACTGTAAGATACTGTTCAGAATTATTTCAAATACCAATATTTATTTAAGTGCATCAGTAATATTTCAGATTCTGCTGGTCTTTCAGAATATTTGGTAAAATATTGCATATGCTTCTGATTTTGAATTATGTTGCTCAAATAAGTCAAAACCGGCAAATGTGTTTTTCC